AAGGGGGGAATGGAGAAATAAACAAAGAAAGTAAAACATCAAGTCGAGGAGACGTTCGCCGATGTGTGCAGAAGAGGGGCCTCGCTCCACTACTCTCGAAATGTGCAAAACGAGAGTGAATCTTCCGCTAGAACATGGAAAGATACACGCAGCCATGACTTCTGTTTTTTGCGCATGTCTAGAGGAATGGAGCGAGGCCCAAGGAGAGAGGAATGACCGGAATTTATAAAAAAAAAAAAAAAAAAAAAAAGAATGACCGGAAAAGACAAAGGCAGAGGTCAGAGTCAGATTCGCAAGCTAGCACTACCCGGACTTACAAAAAAAAGAAAAAAAAAAAAAAAAAAAAAAAGAAAAAGAGTCAGATTCGCAAGACGAAATAAAAATGAATCTATGCTACCAAATGGCGCACAGGGGCGTCGCTCCACTACTCACCAAATGTGCAAAAAAAGAATGAATCTTACGCGAGATCATGGGAAAATACACCATAGTTTTTGTCGTTTGTGCATGTGGTGAGTGGTGGAGCGAGGCGCCAAGATGGAAATGAAGAAGAACAGCCGCAATCGAGAGAAGGAGATCCCGGCCGGGAGAGATTGATGAGAGGAAAAGATAGAAGTCGGAATCTGATTTACAGGACGGAATAGAAAGAAATGTGCCGAAAAAGAATGAATCTTACGCTAGATCATGGGAAAATACATCATATTTTTTGTCGTTTGTGCATGGGGTGAGCAGTGGAGCGAGCCCCCAAGATGGAAGTGAAGAAGAACAGCCGCAAACGAGAGAAGGAGATGCCGGCTGGGAGAGAGGAGAAGATAGACGTCGGAATCTGATTTACAGGACGGAATAGAAAGAAATGGCGGGAAATGAGGATGGCGGGAAATGGAAGCAGCGATAGACGGGGATCAAGGAGATGAAGATGGCGCGAAATGGAGGGGCGAGAAGGACCTCATGGAGGGTAGTAGAGACGGAGATGGCGGGATACCGATATGGCGGGAAACGGAGCATGCGAGAGCAAGTCAATCGCGAGCTGGAGATGGCGGGAGGGAGGGATGCAAGAGAAAGGCAATCGGGAGATGAAAATGGCGGGAAATGGGAATAGCAGGAAACACGGCGAACAAAATGTGAAGACATGACTAAGAAGTGCGATGGTGACTTTGATGAAGAGGATAGCGATCGAGCCAACCGGAAAGGAGGGAGAGAGAGAGAGAGAGAGAGAGAGAGAGAGAGGAGAGAGAGAGAGAGAGATGCAAATGATAAAACAAAAGCACGGCCAACTGAGGGAGGGGGGATCATGGAGTGGGTGGGGAGCACGTGAGAAGAGAGAGAGAGAGAGAGAGAGAGAGAGAGAGAGAGAGAGAGAGAAATGGACACAAAAAACCTGAAATCCAGAGGCGTAAGAAAAGAGGTAAAACAGAGAAGACAGTCGAAAGAATTGTGGGCAAATCTGAGATCTGGGGGGAAGAGAGAGGGCGAGGGAACGAGTCCAGACAGAGATGGGGGCAAAGCGAGAGAGTCGGAAAGAATTGGGGGGCAAATCTGACACTTGGGGGGAAGAGAGGGCAGGGAGAGATGGGGGGAGAAAGAAGAGGAAGGGGAAGGGGTTTGAAAGGGTGTAGAAAGGAGTAAGAAGAGAGTAGAGAGAGGTATGGGCGGGACACCTTGAGCGCGAAAACGCAGCATCCCCGATTTATAAACGCAACTAGAGACAGGAGGAGAGAGAAGAGATGAAAGATGGAACGAAAGAGAAAGAGAGAGAGAGAGAGAGAGAGAGAGAGAGACGTAGATGCGAGAGAGAGAGAAGGATAAACAAGAACGATTGAGAGAGAGAGAGAGAGGAGTAATAGACGAAAGAGGGAGAAGAGTGGCAACTCACATAGGGTGTCCAGTCCCCGATTCGCCGGCGGAAATGCAGCACGGAGTAATCTTGGGTTGGGAGAGGTGTGAACACACTCCTCTCTCCTCTCAAAGCGGTCACAGATCGAAATAGCTCCGTCAACAGCGCGGTCCTGTACCTACAGGAAAACCGCAATGCCTTGAACTTCCCCCTGCCATCCGACCTCACGTTGATGCTGAATTCCAGTTGATCTCCACTGTCAGTTCCCCCGCCTCCCAGTCCTCCTCCTCCTCCTCCTCCTCCTCCTCCTCCTCCCCCTCCCAATCCCAATCCGCCTCCTGTCATCCCCCCAGTGCCCGACACCTTCCCCCACATCGATGCTACTCCCGATCCCGATCCGCCTGCCCCCCCCGTGCTTCCCCCCGTTGCCCCAGCGCCAGGCGCGGCTGACTCGAAATCCCCTGATAAGTCCCATTGATTGGTCACAGTCAACGTGGATGGCTCTAGAGTGATGATAGCTGATTGGGAAATGCAGAAAATCCTCCGATACCTTCCTCGCCACGAGTGCTTGATAGCTGTAAAGCGCGCCAAGTACTCCGGCTCATCGGCGATCGCCTCATGATGGGGATCGGAGCGAAGGAAATCCATGTTCAGTAGGGGTCCCGACAGCAATCCCCGTCCCTTCCGCCGCCCAAGGGCTAAATCCCACAGCCGCCCCCACGACGAAGAGCCCCCCCCCCCTCCCCAGGCAACTCCGGGCGACTGCCCCACCTCCGCCCGGAAGCTGACGTCAACCGATGGCCCCAGCGCGACGACCTGAGATCCCGATAGGATATGATTCCCCGATCTTGTCGATCAATAATCCCAACACGCCACGTCCGCGCCACGTTGACCCCTCATGCCACGAAAGTCTCGCGTTGGCCTCTCTCTCTCTCTCTCTCTCTCTCTCTCTCTCTCTCTCTCTCTCTCTCTCTCTCTCTCTCTCTCTCTCTCTTTCTTTTCATACCCCGCTCCGCCGCCTTCGTGGGCCCAAATGGAATGCACGGGCAGCGCAATACAAAGCGAGAGGACTGAGGACTGCGATCCGACTCCAGAACATCAATCAATCAATCAATCAATCAAATCAAATCAAATCAATCAACCAATCAATCAATTCAATTAAATTAAAGACGATTCGCTGCTATATATCATCCCATACCCAGACATTACGTCAGCAATCAATCAATCAATCAATCAATCAATCAATCAATCAATTCCGCAGGTGATCGCAGATCCAACTAAAATTCAATAGACCTAAAAAAAAATAAAAAAAAATAAAAAAAAGAGATTTACATAAGCGTCCCCCTCCCGCCCCTTCCCCCTTCCCCCCCTCCGCCGGCGGACGACGTCCGATCCGGTCGAGATCGGTACGATCCCGTCGAGATCGGTACGATCCCGTCGGGATCGGCAATTTATGTAGGCATATAGTAAAGTACCCCCCGACCTCGCTCGCCTATCAATTTGTCTAATTACGAATCTAACGGTTAATCGGATTGTCAATTGTAAATTGATTAAACGTCAGCGGAACTTCGCGGTTCTTCATTGACCTACCTACATTCCTACACCGACGCCGGGATCGCATCGGCTGCGACCAACGCCGGGATCGGTTCATTCGACTAAGCATCAGATCTACTACTCATTGGAGCGGCTGAATGCGTGTCTGTATGCAATGCTGATCTGGAGATCGATTTCTCTCCTCTCCCTTGCAGCGGCTGAAAAGACTCCCGTCCACTCCCAAGCGTTCGCCTGTGCGACACTCACAACCAGCGCCCTCTCTCTCTCTCTCTCTCTCTCTCTCTCTCTCTCTCTCTCTCTCTCTCTCTCTCTCTCTCACTCTCTCTCTCTCCCTCCCACACACACACACACACACACACACACCTGTCTCTTATACACATCTAGATGTGTATAAGATGCCCCTTTAAACCACCAGTACATTGCCCCAGGCAAATTTAGATCCTGTTTTGAGCCTCCCNACTCTCTCTCTCTCTCTCTCTCTCTCTCTCTCTCTCTCTCTCTCTCTCTCTCACACACACACACACACACACACACACAAACACAGAAGTGGCCGCCCAACGTGCTAGGATGTGCGGCTCTCACAGCCTGTGCGGCAGCAAAAGGCCGGAAAAGGACAGAAGAATACAGAACATGCTCATCAGAATGATCGATTCGAAATTTTCTTTTTTCTTTTTTTTGTTTAAGATCGGAGTAGTAGTAGTTTCAGAATCACTGAGCACAACCCAGTCTTGCAACTGGTACCAATTGTCATACACTTACTCGCACACATCCTTCGTTAAATCTAATTACTCGCACACATCCTTCGTTTAATCTAATATATATATATCTATATATGTACTGCTTACGCTAAAGAAGAGTGCGTTTTTGTTCTATAGCAGTCGTACCCTCCCTTTTGTCTGCTTTATTCTCGTCCCTCAATCAGACCCTATGTCTGTTCCTGGTCCTTATCTGTTCCTGGTCCTCGTCTGTTCCAAGTTCATCATATGTGGTCCTCGATTTGGTCTGATCTTGTTCCTGGCGGTCCCCTACCAAGGGCCGGGATCTGTTTTCTCATCCGTCCACTTTTCCTTTCCGTCTTCCCATCCGTCCGATCACCACCGTCCCTTTCGGCGCGCTTCAGCACTATTCTCTATTCTTCCCCCTCTCGACGACGCCCCACCAGCAGTCGTCCTTGGCCTTCATATGTTCATCACAGAGGCAGAGATGTCCCTTGCCGTGCCCTTCGCCTGGCAAGAATGATTGTTGTCCCTTGCATCCTCTTAGGGCATCTACTCTCCCCCGGTACTTTCCACCATGTATCGAACTGCAATCACGGGCAAAATACAGGCGAAAAAAGTACAAGTGTGGGGGTACTACGGCCTTTCTCACTCCAACACAACGATATAAGAACCTGAGCGACAACTGGAACGGAGAAGTGCAGAAACACGGAGAAGTGCTGTGCGGCACGAAGAGGAAAACCCTCAAGGGTAGCTATGGCGGGCGTGGCAAGTGTTGTGCGACAGAGACAGACAGAGCCAACCAGGGCGCCGAGAGGAGTGTGCTGTGCGACACGACGAGAAAAACCCTCGACCCCAGCAGCGACCCCCACTCTCCCTCCTGTCACGAAGGGTGCCGAGGGGAGTGTGCTGTGCGACACGACGAAGTAAAAACGTGGGCGACGCGATCTTGTCGCACAGAGGGCAGCAACTTCCCAGAGCGCGACACTTAGGAGGAGAGAACTGCGTGGCAACCAATCACCGGTCCTGGTCACAGGTCGATGCCTGCCACGACCTGCACGCCGTGCACGGAAAGCTCAAGCTCACACACACACACATGCACATGCACACACACACACACGGGCACCGTAGACAGCCGTATACCTCGTACATTCCCTGGACTTCCCAGCCCCTCTCTCCCTTCCGTACATTCCGCTGGACTCCCCCTTCCGTACGTACATGTCCTGGAAAATCACCCGCCTTCGTGAGTTACGTTAGAATTTGTTCTTCCCTTACCCTTCCCGATTGACCCCCCTTTCTCAGCCCCCCTCCTCTCAGTCTGACGATGAGGCACTGCTCCACTGCACCCGCCTCTCTGCCGCTTCGCTCAGCGGTAGATCGCAGATTGAATCCAACTTCCCTCCCTTTTTCTTTTTTTTCAATAATTCGGACCCCCCTTTATGCGTGTCATCCTTGCGCAGTGGCCATGCTAATCTTCTAAGTATGTGTCCCGAAGGACCCTCCCTCCCGAAGCCGCGTAATGATTCGGCTCCAGCGTCGGGAATATATCACCGCATGTTTTTTTTGTTTTTTTTCGTTTTCTTTTTATCACGGCATGTTGGCGTCGTAAACCACGAGTAGTAGAATTGCTGTGAGTAAAAATAAAAATTAAAAAAAGAATTGCTGTGAGCTTCATGGCTGTCAGGGCATTTCCAGGGTGATGAGCCTGGGCTCAGACTGACCTACTGCGAGGGCCCAGGGTAGTGTGAAGGAGAAGTTTATGTTTCATGTATTTTTCAACGTGGTCACACGGTGGCCGTGGAATTTTCAGATCGGATGGCAGGGAGCCCTGCATACTTGAAACCAGAGCTAAACCTCGACAAGTGGGGCATGGCCCCAGGTACTCTAGGTTTGTAGACTGGCAGGGCGTCATGCAAGGTTTCAGATAAATTACTCTTTACCAAAAAAAAAAAAAAAAGAGGTGCAAAGTAAATGTGTTTGTGATAGCCTGAGGGGCTCTTTGACACTCCTTGTGGCATCCTCAGGGCCGAAGGAAGTTTCCTTCGGGGTTTTGAAGGAACGTCGTTCCACGAGGATGATTCCTTTTGGGCCCCCGCGGCCAATTTCATAATATTATAGTTGGCCATAGGTGGGGTTCAATGCCTTGGTCCATTCGGCGATGTCCGTCTCGTGATAGTATGGTCCAGCTGCCAAAGGCAGGAAATTTTGAAAGGTGCTGGCCGGGGGACACAAAAAAAAAACTTACAAAGCAATGGACATTCCCGTTCAAAAATCAAATTTTGAATTGGGTGTTGGACGTGACGACGGTGACGCTGTCGAGCGCATCGGTCCCGCACGGGGACCTTACCGGCCGCGTCACGCAGGATTTGGCAGGACTTGTCGCGGAGAGCGTTTCGCCGCTCCGGCCGAGTGCGCCAGCCGTACCTCTCGCGAGCCCCTCCGACAGGACAGGGTCACGCGAGGCACCGCTACCTCCACCTGCGGGAGCTGTCACCATCCCTTAGGTGGGCGTATCCCCGCCGAGCTACTGAACCACATGCGAAGGCTTTTCGTATGCAATTGCAAAGGTAGCCCAGCCGAGGGTGTTTCTCGTTCGTTGTAGCATAGGGGGTACGCGTGGTCAACGCCCCGAATCGAACCCGTACGCGAATCGACGCACTGGGGGGCTGAGGTCCCAAACACGACTCGACGTCAGTCGACTAGGACGAATCACACACACCACGCGTTACACCATAACATTCGCACACATGAAAAGGGCACGAAATAAATAACACAACAACACTCCTAGTCCCTTCAGTATCCGACCCATAACTTTTTGCAGCGAGAATCAGATAGGTATCGCGCGCTGGACTTTCGTATAAGAGTCGCGCGGGCGCATGGCCTCCTCATATCGACCAGCCATGCGGGCATGTGCGAACACTTGCACTGATAGAGTGCTAAGTAGTACTCGTAACCGCACGATCCTCGATAATCTCAAGGGTCACGTTCGACACTCAAGTGTCGGCTGACAAGCGCCTTGAGGGGTCAATCTCCCGACGCTAGACAACCGTCAAGGCGGTTGATCACCACACGCTCTTCTGCACCTTGCAGAGAGTGGGTGGTACACAGGTTCATCCCTGTGGTGGCAGTCAGCTCTCGTGGCCTAGGAGGCAAGCTCCATCATCCAGGGTCTGGAGAGAAATCAAGGGGTTTGACTTTGACGGCTGCCACGGACTATAACGTTCAACTATAAAATTCAAAAGGCAAAAAGGATGGAAGGGGAATCTCCTTTTTCCCTCAAAGTATAATCTGTTTAATCCTTGCACACGGTCACAATAGGCCGCGCGAACACCCAACGTATATGTATGTACATATATATAGAAGGTTATAAATATGTGACGATCACTTCTCACAATCACAATGAGATTTATCTCAACCATATATACTTAAGTGATCATAGGCAGTCAAATCCAAAGTCTGAATCACCAAACATATCTGCAATAACATCAAAGATTCATATCAACAGAGCACACACGACACGGGGTCAACTTCAA